CCGCCTGTTGGCCAAGCGGGCGCAGCGGGCGCCGAAAGCTCGGGGGACCGTGGACATACAAAACACACTCAACCACGCTTGCAACGAAATCAATGAACGCAAGATAATGGGACTCCATTTACCCACGTTGCAACTGGCAGGGAGGATAGTGAAAACAAAGATCACACTCAGTGCTGGTGAGGGCTGCTGCGGTGGTCCCCAAAACAGCATTCAGGGGAGCGCAGATTGGTGGCAAGTTTCCAGAAAGGTGATCAGAAAATAATTATCGATCATCTTACAAAAACAGTCTTATAGTCTTCTATGCAACATTCAGAAACACAAGGCACTGTGCCCATGGCTCACAGTGAAAAAGCCAAGCGTACCAGCCCGGAGGGGCAGACTCAATTCTGGTGCAAATGACAGCATACGTCGCAGTCATTAAAATCATGGTTTTTGAGAATATCACTCTGTGAGACATGCATTCTCAGTGAGTCTTGACTTGCTGGAAACGGCTTATTTTCTTAAGTGGGTAAATATGTTTGAATTCTGAGGAATGTGGAATTAAGTATAAAATAATATAGATTATTAATTGTATTAATATTTTAACGTTAAAGTTTGTGATATCCTTAAGAATAATTTGGACATGTGGGTACACGAAATGTGTATGATAATTTAGCTCAGTATAATGTAAAAAATAGTTTTGTGATCAAAACTTAAAAGGTGTGATCAAGTGATTTGTTTAGACTTCTACTAATTGTCATGTAATAAGTGATTTCACTTATATTTAATATATATACACACTTTGTGTGAAAAGAATTTAACATATATAATTCAATTTCAGGTGAAAGGGGTATGAAAAGGATCTTATCTTACTATATTTGTAAGAGTTACTTAAAGTTTTGTTACATAACTGAAGTACTTGAAAAGAAAGTCAAATATTAAGTTTGTAAAAGTTGCTTAAAATATTTAAGAAAATTAAATTAAGTAAATAGTAAAAGTGCTCCCTTACAATGGTTGTGAAGTTTTATTAGGTTTGTAGATATTTCAAGACCAATATGCAATTTGAATTTAAAAGGTTAAGGAAAACTAAATTTGTGGATTTGTAACTTTACTAAAGCAACTATTACGTTATAGACAAATGGAGACCTTTGCTGTCTCTTTTCTGTGCACAAAACTAACCTAAAAAGAAACCCCTGGGCTGCCTATCAAATGGAGACAGAGGTAACATTTATGGGACCTAAAATGTATTTTTGCCAATACAAAACACTGGCCATATATCAGACAACATTTAACTTGCCTTTAAAGGCAAAGCACCAGAACAATTAGAAATTGATATCAAGATCAAGTTACCAGTGCCAGTGAACAAGCAGTACTCAAGATGTAATCACAAACCATCATTATGTTGCTCTCCATTGTCTCTTTGGAAATTATTCCTCGAGGAGAGTGCTTCTGCTGCTCCAGGGTGAAAACTTAGGATACTTAGGTAACCCTATAGTTTTTCTGATCACCCTGAAGTAGTAAAAATTCCCAAAGTTGTAAAGATAGTCTTAATTTACAGCATCTTAAATCTTATAATGTTCAATTCCATGTAACTCAGAATCTTGAACTTGTTTTAAAGTAAATCCTCTCTCCTTCCTCAGGCAGCACCAGATGTGAGTTGTATCCCTGTGGAAGAGATGAGGGAGACAGCACATTTCTCTACTGTTTCCCCCACCTACTGTTTCTCAGCCTCCCAAGCTTGCAAACCGACTTCTGGCCCTTCCACTGCCTGGGATGTTCTCTCATCCACAGGGCCTAGCAGGTGTTGAAGCTGGTGCTTTTCTTGGTTCTTTGGGAGACTTCACTGTCTATTCTGCTGGTCATGAACCAGAAGATACCTTCTAACCCCTGTTTGCTTATGCCTGCCTCAATTTCCAGGAGCCCTATGATTCATCTCCAGCTCTATGGTCTGAATGTTTGCATTCCCTCAAAATTCATATGTTAATATCTCAACCCCCATGGTGATAGCATCAGGAGGTTGAGCCTTTGGGAGGTGATTGATCAAGGGTGGAACCCTCATCAATGGGATTGATGCCCTCATAAAAAAGACCCTGAGAGAGATCCCTTGCCCCTTTCATCAAGTGAGGACACAGCAAGAAATGGAATCTGCTGGCACCTTGATCTTGGACTTCTCAGCCTCCAGAACTCTGAGAACTACATTATTGTTATTTATAAACTATTTCGTTTATGATATTTTGTTACAACAGCCCAAATGGACTAAGACAACTGGTTAACCTATCCTAAATTTGTGAGATTTTTCTAGATGGCCACGTGGCAACAGCATTTTATATAGGGATTTCAGTACTTCCTAGTCACTCAAAAGGCTGAAATAGCAGGTCATGGGCCAGGGCAACTCCTAGAATGACCACAGAGCTGCTGTAATCAGGAATCTGGGGGCACCAGGGACTGCCAACTGAGCTGCTGGCTGTAAAAGCACACCACCTTAGCTGCCAGCTAGGAATTTCCCACACCCCACAGTTAGCTACAGTCCCAGCCATGTCTATATATTTGTCAGCTAGAGCTGCCATAACAAAATACCACAGACGGGTGGTTTAAACAATAGAGATTTATTTTCTCATAGCTCTGGAGGCTGGAAGTCTGAGCTCAAGGTGTCAACAGGTTTGGTTTCTCCTGAGGTCTCTCTCCTGGGCTTTGCAGACAGCCACCTTCTTTCTGTGTCCTCATATGGCCTTTCTTCTGTGTGTATAAAGGTGTCTCTTCCTTTAAAAAAAACATAATGACACTAGTCTTATTGGATCAGGTCCTACTCTTATGACCTCATTTAACCTTAATGACCTCTTTACAGACTCTCCAAATAAAGTCACATCTGAGGTGCCTGAGGTTAGGGTTTCACATATGAATTTTGGGAGGACACAATTCAGTTTATAACAGACTGCTGGGTCTGCACTTGCAGACCTTCTGCCTTTCCCTTGGTATTCTTAGGACTGGGGACCAGACACCACCATTTTGGCACTGAAAAATCCAACACCTGCACTCATTAGCAGAAGCTGTATAAGTAACAGGAGCGTGGCTTCCATCCCCCTGCCTTCCAAAGCTCTTGGGAATGTACCTCATTAGCCTAAGCTAACTTGCTCAATTTCCTCCCATGCCCAAGGGACCCTGAAACTTGTTTTCACCTCCAAGCCTCTGCATACTGGAAGGAGAGTGGGAAGAATGCCAAGGGACAATCCACAACATTCACTACACATAATTCTGATAATTATGGAGTCTGCTCCCAAAGGAGTTAGGACATTAGAGCGCTAAGACTCAAGAAAATATGGGATCCATTATTGAGTGAAAAAAAAATGTTTAGAGCCTCAGAAGCTTAAAAATAATTGTGTTTGGAATTACTTGTATAGAAACAGCTGTAACTATCTAATAGAAAACCAAGTTTCTATTTATAAACATATAAAGTCTTTATGTTTTAATCTTTTGTTTTGTAATACACATGTGAATTTAGAAAGAGTGAGACTATCTGTATGGACCTGAGGTTGTATGAATTAAAGTTATCTTAAACTATTTAGACTCAAGAAGAAATACATCTTCAGAGCTGATAAGAACTGTTCATAAACCATTAAACGGGATAACAGGTTTAATTTTCCAAAGATAGCAGCTTACAAGGGCAGGGGGGTGGTGACGGTAGTTTTGAATCTCAGCTAAGCCTTAGTTTCTGAGTAGCCTAAAAAGAGAGGATAGTAAACCACCACCTTTTCTTATATTAAAAAGTTTATTTATTTATTTATTTTGGGAGATTCATTTTAATTTGGGGACTTCTATATTAAATACCTTTTAGTTCAAAAGGTGATCAAAAATAGAAGACAATAGAAAGAGAAATGTAATATTTGCATTTAAGTTTTTAAGTGTTTTCTTCAAATACATATCCATGGTAATCATGCAGTTCTGATAAAATGCACAGTTGGGGATTTCAGGCAAAGAGCATTTTAATTTTACCTGAGGGGTTGGATTTCTGCACCACAGATAAAGGGCAAAGATTTGACACAAATGCAGTGTATCAAGGAATTGCAATTAAAGGGTGATACAACTGGGATTGGCTATAATCACAAAACATAGTTCCTTACAGAATCTGAATTAAGTGTGTGTGTGTGTGTGTGTGTGTGTGTGTGTGTGTGTGTGTGTGTGTGTGTTGTTTTTTGGATTTGTGTGTGTTTGTTTGTTTGTTTGCTTTGAGAGTCGGAGTCTCACTGTCGCCCAGGTTGGAGAGCAATGGCATGATCATGGCTCACCACATCCTCAATCTTCTGGGCTCAGGTGATCTCTTCTGCTTTAGTGTCCTAAGTAACTAGGACTACAGGTGAGTGCCACCACACCCAGCTAATTTTTAAATTCTGTGTTGCCCAGGCTGGTCTCGAATTCCTGGACTCAAGTAGTTCTCCTGGCCTTGGCCTCCCAAAGTGCTGGGATTACAGGTGTGAGCCACTGCACCTGGTCAAAATCTGAAGAATTTTTTAAATTCAGGAGCCAGTTTCTTCCTGTGTTTGTGGCTGCCCTGAGGGCCTGACCATAAAGACCCTGTGAGAGTTAGGTAAGCTGAGGAAAGGCTGGGCCAGATCTCTAAACAGATTGCACTCACTTCTGGCTACCCTAGGTCTCACAAATCTGGGTCATTAAGGTCAGGGGCCCAAAGTCTTGAGGCATTTGAGCTAGGAGGGGATGGAAAGCAGTGTCAGAGTCTGGGTTCACCTTGGGCTTTAGTGCAAGTAAGGCCCTGGCACCGCCACAGACGCATGAGAAAGCGCACAAGCTCTCAGCTTTCCAGGACTTCTTCTGTGGCTTTCTCAGCACATCTGTGGAAACGAGGATGG